TTATCTACTTCCGACACTAATTTTTCTTGGAGTTTGGTTGCATCCACTTCATTTTCCTGTAACAAGTTGGAGCTTCCGAATATTTAGAGTATTTAAAAAGACAGGCAAGTTGAAACTGATTGAAAGTTATAGTGGGGTATTCAATACGTGGCTATCAAAACTAAATACTCCGACATACCTGGAGCCTTTTGTTCAAGTATTCAATAGTATTATTCATTTCGTCATTCCGATCTTTGTAGCACAGTATTTCTGTTTTCAACTCTTCTTCCATCTTTTTCTGAACTTGCAGATTTTGAGACAGTTCCGAGACCTAAAAATCAAACTTGGTTATGCAAACCAGTTCGTGGCTAGAATACTTTAATAATAAAATACATCTAAAATTAAAGTGAACTTTGAATGTCGACTTCCATTACAATCCGCTATCATGTCCTAGCTGTGCCCAATTTGTTTTTAAAGTTATTCGTGATATTCATTTCCATGTAATAAGAAGAATGGTTATATGAAATAAGTTTTTTTTTATTAGAAAGAGGTATACCAAGAACGATCAAGCACTTACCTGTTCTGTCAGATGTTTAATAAGTTGATCTTCCTCTTGTAAGATTTTCTTTGATTCTTCTAGTTGTGCCATGAAAGACTGTTTGTCTTTCTGTTAAATAAACAGTGTCGTAAGTCATATATTGACGATTAATGCAATGGCAGACTTATCCAAGCTTTCTTTCATGACCTATTTTTATTATTGTATCTATTATAAAATATCATAAGATTGGTATTCATTGGTGAAATAAATATGCGGATAAAATGCAGGAAAAATTTTCGGCTTCCGTTTGAGGAAACACACTGAGTAATGTCAAACCTGCATATCCTGGAAATCTGATTTCAGGTGTTCGAATTTGATGTGCATATCTTTAAGGCTCTGGGACAGGATGTGTACTTCTTGCTCCAGCTCACTGTGTTCTTCCATCAGCTTCGTTATCCTATTATTGCTACGGTTGAGTTCCTGGAAAACAATAGAATATTGATTAGATCGCAAAGAAATCTTATACCGGGAAATCACAATCTTTAGTTATACGTGCACTGCTAAACCTTGGATTTTAATCTTGGATAAACTATGGAGCGTACCTCTTCCAACTCTTGCTTTCGAACTGTCACAGCCTCAAGCTTATCCAGGAGCTCGCTACTGTTGCCTTCCAAAGTGTCGTTCGCTTTCTTCAGATACTGGATCTTCTCTACCGCCTCCTCGAATTCCTTTTGACTTTCATTGCGGCTAGAAGGGAATATTTTTTATATGTGGAGTATAGATTATGTTTTTCTTTTTAGATGAGCAACTGTTCCTTATATTACCTAGGAGGTATGATCCAAGATTTATTTGATGTTAAAACGAATGAAAAGAAAACATATTGTTATCGCTTATACTTTTTGCTAAAAGTTACGACTAACAAAATGTACTTGTTGGAAAGAAGTCGAATAAAAAACCTAGGTATAAATACAAAGTTAAATTCTGTCTTATCTGATTTTGAACAGGAACGATCGGATAACACCTTTTATTTTGTATTTTGTTATCTGATTGTATACCACTAAGAGTTCATTGTGATTACTGTAGAATAAGTACGTGAGAATGAATAGCTTCATAATGCAATAGAAGTAACTGGATAACATTATCATAACTTTGTCAATACGCCTCAATTGCATATTCTGTGTTGTGAAATTATTAATTCTCTTTTAGACCTTCTCTCCACTAGTCGTATTCGTTAACATCAGGTTCATGATAACATTTATACTCGATATATCTGTGCTGAATATATATAAGTGAATTGCATCCTATAATCTAATTTAAGAAATGAAGCATATAAGAAGAAAAAAAACTTACCGACATTGTTCTTGGTTTAGTTCTTCTTGTAGTTTGTTTACCCGGACAGTTGAGGCCTGAGTTTGCTCCTCCATTTCTTTCTGAACTCTTTCTAGTAAACTCTTAACCTAAAAAAGATGGCGAAAATGCAATATGGTATGAAACAAAATAATTAAAATAGCAGGACAGATCAACAACTGCATGTTTTCCCTGACCTCGACAATTTCCGATTCGAGAGCCGCGTTCTTGTCTTGGGCACACGAAAGACTCTGTGCCGTGGTCTTCAGGAGCTCTGTCATCTCAGAAACATTTTCCTCGTACTCGGAATTACTGTGGACGAGCCTCGACATCGACTCGTTCAATTCCTTCAGCTCTTGCTCTTTTGATGCGATTTTCTCCCGCAGTTGACTCACTTCAGACGCAGCTGTAGAAAATTGACTTTATTTATATTTCATAGTTAAATAAATCCAACTGAACAAATTCATGACTCGCTTCTTTTTACACTGAGTTACTGTTTACCAGAACTTTGGCCACGAAAGACTGTGACAGGGAACCTGATTTACCTTGTGCAGTAAGACTATCCACTTGCTGCTTGTGTTGCACGGAAAGGTCATGAAAGCTTTCTGTAATTCCATTTATCTCCTGGATTGTCTCGTGGTGGGCTGCGCTTAGCAAGTCTTTATCCTGCTGGAAAAGCGTTAGTGTAACCACAAGTTCTTCTTTCTGTTGTTCAAGTGTGCGGAACAGCTGACGAGTGTGAGTCACTCTGTAATGAGATATATAATGTCAACAATACAAACTAATGATGTTTTAAAACACAGTCCATATACTTAGTGATTAAATGTTTGCATGGTAGGAAACAGAAAATGGTCGAATATCTGCTATTACAAGTTTTATTCAAATCTGCATGTGTTAAGGAGAGGATGATTCTATCTTAAGCTTGAAAAAAGTTACCCTAAGTATTTGCAAGATTACTCTTAAATCAAGATTTAAAAGTAATATGGCATGTATCGTGTTACTAATGTATATACATTTTTTATGTTAGTCACGGCATACATAGATATGTTAAGTGGATTGCCATATCCAAACAACGAAGACTAAAAATTAAACAGAAAATATAAATTTCCGTTCATCATACTTACTTGGCAGCGACCAAGTCCCTCTCTTGGCGCTCCTTGAGTAGGCTCTGGGAGAGGTTCTCCGAGTTCAGCTGCAGCTCCATCAGATTTCGCCGCTGGTCTGCGATGGTCACCTGAGCCTCGTTCAGCTGTCGCTCGAGCTGCCTTGTGTTCATCTGTGGACAGGGAAATGTTTTGATTATACAGCCAGCCGTAGCAGAATGTTCTTTTCTTTCCTGGGAATATATGACGTCCAGACAACAAAATATATTATACATATTTTATAAATTGTGATGCACTATATATACTATTTATTATCGGTAGGAAATAACAAACAAAACTTTACATTCGTCTGTTCATCACTCTTACCTCAGTCGAAGCCTTCCAGCGTACGATATTTTCCGTCTCTTGCTGCAGCTGTTTGTGAAGATCTTCCATACCTACAGCTCCTTCGCGATCGCTACATTCTGAAAATAATTTGAACATATTACATACACTGAAATCAGAAGCATGAGAGAGAGAGAGAGAGAGAGAGAGAGAGAGAGAGAGAGAGAGAGAGAGAGAGAGAGAGAGAGAGAGAGAGAGAGAGAGAGAGAGAGAGAGAGAGAGCATATATATATATATTATATATATTATATATATATATATATATATATATATATTATATATATATATATATATATATATATATATATATATATATGTATATATATATATATATATATACACACACACGTATAATATATATATATATATATATATATATATATATATATATATATATATATGTATATACAGAGAGAGAGAGCGGAAAGAGAAGGGGGAAAGAGAAAAGAGAAAAGATAGATAGATGGATAGAGATAGAAAAGAGGAAAGAGAAAAGAGAAAAGATAGAGAGTGAAAAGAAAGAGGAAAGAGAAGAGAAAATAGATAGATAGTCAGATAAGAGAGGAAATATGATCTGAAACATTTGAACTATTAGAGAACATTTCAAAGGGACGAAGTGACATGTCATCTCCGTCACATTTTTGTCCCTTTATGAGCTCAAAGCATTCCAAGAAATACACAAAGGTGAACCTTACACAGCTGGCATTCATAAACTAATAACAAATTATCAAAACTATTCAAATATTTCCTTAATTTTAATATTGCTGCACATCCAGTCTATCGGTAGAGTAACACAAAACAATTCGGCATTTCTGAATCTCAAGAAGTGCATATAATTATATATTGGGCCAGGGAGATTATGGGCCATAATCTTGTGTGCTCTTGGTCATCCATCTGTTCTTCCATAATAGGGAGTAGGATCTTGGTGCTCCATTTCTACATCTGCTGTCATCCACTGTCTGCCTCGCTCCCCTAACACCAATAATTATATCTGGCCAGGGAGATTATGGGCCATAATCTTGTGTGCTCTTGGTCATCCATCTGTTCTTCCCTTTTATTTATTATCATACCATCTTCTCTCCCTTGCACTTTTTTCTTTTTCTTTTACTGTCTTAATATATTGTTTGCAGTATACATCCACATGATGTTTTTTCAGTAGCTTACATTGATATATCATTGGCCATTGATGTTCCATTCAAGTATTCTTTTCTTACAATCACAAACTATTTCATCGTAAAATATACTACTACTTGTAATTGATATTAAAGCACCTAATGTTCGTTTCAACCCTATACAATTATTAATAACTCCAATATATGAGCTAACTCAGTCGGAGTCCAATTTTTTGTATGACTGTGAATTGACGGACCAATAGCCCACAACCTGCTTTTCCATCTTCTTGAACTTAACTGTCACAATATACATACAATGTATGTCTGTAGGGAATATCCCAGGTCTTATGTTCATATACGGCTCTTAACTATCCTGGCTCAGTATAAATATCTATCTCCTGTTCTTGCCAATGCGCTATTTTTCTCTCTAATGTTGGACTTTGCATTTGTCATAAGTGTCTAAAACCATTTAAAATACTCTTTTTATATCTGCTCTCTCTTTATCCACAGACTGTCCTTGCATTTCCATTCCTCATTGCATATTTTTACAAGCTGTTACTCATGAATCGCTTGCCTTTGATTCGTTGTTCAATACTCTGCAACCCCAATGCTGTTCTCATGTCAAACCTTGCATTTATTGGGCATCCTAAAATGACCGTCATGACCATCTGTTATAGGGCCTCGAGTTTACCGATATTCTCTCATAATATGGTTACAAGAAATCCTAATGCTGTCTCACTGATTCTCGTATGTGTTTTTCCATAACCCTTTTAAAGGTCTCACCCGTTAAAAAATCAATGTCCCTTATTTTTCTTTCCTTATCCTTAATGAAATTCTTTTTCTTTTGGATACGTTCATTTCTTTCTGCCGCCGGCATCCTCTGTAGCCTTTCTACGTACTCCCATTTGTTTCTTGGTGGCTGTCATTTCATTGTTTCCCTCGTATTTCCTGTTGTGGTCTCGCTTTGCATGCCAAAGATCCGTCATTTCTTCCTTTTTTCTGCAAAGGTTTAAAGTTACGATCCCCCATCTGCACTGACCATTTCATCTTCTCAAGGCACGTCATGTTTCACTGTTTAATAATTCTTTGTGATCATTTTGCAGTTTACTTACACATGGTAGGGTCATACGTAATAGGCCTATTTAATTTTCTACTCAATTGTATCACAATAATTCATATCCTATTATTTCACTGTATTTTAGCGTTAATTTAGTTGCTACTATAGTTTTACTGAAAATAAAACGCGATTGCTAATCAACCAGTGACGTAGCTAAAACGAGCGGATTCCCCAGTTGCCCTCAGGGTATACCCGGAGCAAACCCGAACAAGTGGCTTGCTACCCACCTTCCTTGCACCATAATAACACGTTAGAGCACTAATCTTACATATTGATTGCACATATCCAATCCATGTGTCCTTATGCACCGACACCGAATTGCTCAGAGTTAATGTCTTCATTGTTAAGTTTTAAAATGTCCAAAATCCAGGAATTATGACGCAGCTGTGTTTACAACACCAGTGGCGCCGCCTACGAGAGAGAGAGAGAGAGAGAGAGAGAGAGAGAGAGAGAGAGAGAGAGAGAGAGAGAGAGAGAGAGAGAGAGAGAGAGAGAGAGAGAGAGAGAGAGAGAGAGAGAGGAGAGAGAGAGAGAGAGAGAGAGAGAGAGAGAGAGAGAGAGAGAGAGAGAGAGGAGAGAGGGAGGAGGGAGAGGAGGGAGGGAGAGGGAGGGAGGGAGGGAGGGAGAGGGAGGGAGGGAGAGGAGGGAGGGGGAGGGAGAGGGAGGGAGAGGGAGGGAGAGAGAGAGGGAGGAGAGAGAGAGAGAGAGAAGAAGAGAGAGAGAGAGAGAGAGAGAGAGAGAGAGAGAGAGAGAGAGAGAGAGAGAGAGAGAGAGAGAGAGAGAGAGAGAGAGAGAGATTCCAATTCCAGACCTAAAAAAATGTACAGAAGTAACTTACTTTTCGCGAGTGCCGTGTGGGCGCTGGTCCTCGCGGGGAACTCCCACTGCGATCGCGGGCGTCCTTCGCTGTACAAGGTCTGCCTCCACATCTGCAAATTTTTTCACGGCAAAATATTTAGGGTCCTCGTGTTCGTGTATGGCATGATCAACTCATTACTTGAGTATTATGAGTACCGTATATTGATTATGAATATATGGGGAAATTAAAGTAAGGACTGTTGTGAATTAAGTAGTGATTATTAATGCATGACGAACTGATAATTATGAATCGATTGCCAAGGAAATTCATCAGTTATGGCTATATGAACTAAACGAAATTAATAACTAGATGGCGGAGAATGTGAAGAAACCACTTCGGCAATTAAAGAAAAAATGGCGTTGAATAATCTAATTCTAACAATTCTGGGAAATTCTGTTCGAGAATGCTGAAGATAACCTAACAAAAGAAAGAAAACGATGATACAAAAAATAGAAAATAAATAAAACAGCTTGAAATTAGGTCTCGAGAGAAATGTGAACCTACAGGTACCTACTCTCCTGTCAATTGAAATTACACTGAGTTGAGACCGCAAAGACGAAATGAAAATAAAAGTAATAATCGGAAAACTATTTACTTCTTTTTTCAAATCCTTTACATCAAATACTGTAATTTAAAACACATTCATTAGTAAACAAGCTTTATTTTAGTGAGATCAAATTCAGAATAATAATATTTGTAATAGTTTATATAATTTGATGTCCAACCTTGTCTAAATATGTAAAACGAGAGAAATATGTGACGAGCGTTCAATTTGATGGCGGTTGGCTGACGAAGGCGGAGCGCGGAGGTACATCTTTTAAATTTTCTATTATAATTTCGCATAACATTACAGGTAAAAACTATGTTCTTCGTAATGTATAAGACTTTTACTAATACGTATTTTTACATCACTGTATATTTCTTCTGTAAAATGAGATGTAACCTTAAAGTTTTTTTTATTGAAAATTTTAAAAATGTATATGCCCAAGTACACTGTTGCAAAAAAAATAAAATTGTGCCAAAGTCAATATTTCATACGTTTTTTATTTCATTTTTTCAATCTGTTTAAATATGTATGTACGTTTTCAGCATACATTTCATTAATATTTCTCATTTACGTGTCTTCGAGCTTCATTTTCGGCGCAATTTCAAGGACCGTATGTATAAAAGGCATTTTCTTTACATTGATAATTTTCCAAGCATTTGATTACACCAAGGATCGTACTGTATATGCACTATATAAACACGTATTTATTTATTTATAGATGTAGATTACAAGTACAAAACAAGGTAGTTGATGGACTTTATTATTTGGTGTTATGGGTATGATTACAGTAAGAATATTGACCTTTTTATTATCATTATCACCATCGTCTTCGGGGTAGGTTAAGCAATCACCTAGGTTGTTATTATTACTATTATCATTATATTATCACCATTACCAGCATTTCTGGTATCATCTTCATCGTTATCATTATCAATATCATTGTTATTATCATTCTTCATCGCAATTGTTATCATTATTATTGTTATCAATATTATCATTATTATACATCGTTATTATTGTCATTGTTATGGTCATTATCATTATCTTTCTTCCGTTCATCATTATCTTTCTTCATCGTTGTCATTATCATTATTATTGTCATTATTATCATTATCATTCTTCATCGTTATCTTTATCATTATTATTGTCATCATTACCATTATCATTGTTATTGCCATCATTATCACAATCATTCTTCATCATTATCTTTATCATTATCATTCTTCACCATTATCATTATCATTATCATTCATTATCGTTATCATTATCATTATTATTGTTATCATAATCGTTATCATCCTTAGTAGAAGTAGATTTTTTGCTATATCCACTATCACCATTACTATAATTATTAAAACTGTTATTATTATTGCTTCATAGTATTATCATTGTTGGCCATTATTAGCATTGAATTGCTACAGCCACTCATATTAACAATAAAATTACTCTTATTCTAGTTGCTGTTGTAATTATAATCGTCAAAATCATTGTTATTATCATAGCACTGCGACTATTTTGCTTACAATCATTACTACTATTCTCATAATAATGATAATGGTATTAGCTGTTATCGGCATTATTACCATTATTATTATCATTGTTGCTGTGGTTGTTATTATTATTATTATTGTCATTGCAATCCCCATTATAATTGTTTAATTCTTTTATTATCATTATAATAATAATGTTGATAATAATGATAGTAATGGTAGTAATGCTGATGATAATAATAATGATGATAGTAATAATGCTAATGCTAATGGTAATAACAAAGATAATTATAATAATAACAATAATAATAATAATGATTATATGATAATAATATAGATGATGATAACAGTAATAGTAATAACAGCAACAACAATAATAATAATAATAATTATCTTATTAATTATTATTATTATTATTATTATTATTATTATTATTATTATTATTATTATTATTATATTATTATCATTATTATTATCATTGTTATCATCATCATCATCATCACCTTCATCATCAACATTATTATGATCATTATCACTGTCATCATTATCATTATAATTGTTAATAATCTAATATCATTATCACTATGCTGTTGTTTTTATCATTTGCATTGTTATTATCATCATTATCATTGTCTTTATTGTTATTTTTTATCATAATGATAATCATTATTATCTCGATTATTATTATTGTTGTTATTATTATTATTACTAGTATTATTATTGTTATTATCATCATCATCATTATTATCATTATTGTTATTATTATCATCATTATCGTCATATCATCATTATTCATAATTATCATTATTAATTCATAATTATTATCATCATTATTATTATTATCCTCACCATTATCATTATTTTTACTATTCTCATTATTATTATTATCATTATTATCATTATCGTCATTATTATCATTAACATCATTATTCATCAATATTATTATCATTAACATCATTATTATCATTATTACCATCATAATTATCATTATTATTATTATTATCCTCATCATTATCATTATGAGCATTATTCTCAACACCATCATCATTATATCATTTCTATTATCATCATTATTATTATCATTACTATTATCATAATCATCATTATTATGATTATCATTACTGATGTTATTATCATTATTATTATTATTATCATTATTATTATCATTATCATTATTATCATTAGTAGTAGTAGAATCATCATTATTATCCTCCTCTTCCTCATTATTATCATATATATTATATTATTATCATTATCATTATGATCATTAATATCATTATCAATGTGATTATCACTATTATCATCATCATTATTGTTATTATTATTAGCATTATCATTGTTATCATTTTCATCATCATTTGTCATCATTATTAGCATTATCGTTACTATTATTTTATTGTTTTTTTATTTTGTTGTCATTATTATTACTAGTATCACCATTATCATTATTATTGTTATTACTGTAATTATTGTAATTAATGTTATTATTGTTATTATCATTACCGTTGTCATTGTCACTGTCAATAATTTCATCATCATCATTAATGTTATTATCAGCTGTGTTGCTGTTGTTTTTTTTTTACCAGCATTATTTTATCACCATTGTTATTATTTTGGTAGCGGTGGTGGAGTAACTCGAGGGCTTGTTAGAGTCTGTCCTTACACAAGCCTATGCGGAGAACTTTCTACAGACGTCTTGATAAGGCAAACACGTTATCCAATAGAAATTAATTGTTCCTGGCTAGGCTTAAGGGCCAGGAAAGTGTGTTTGTTTGAAAGAAACTTGTGAGTACCCTGAATTGTAAGTAATCTTAGATTTGGTCAAAGGCCACGCCCCTCTAAGACGCTGAATGGTTCATATACGATTTTCATGTCGCAATTTATTTTTTCACAGTTTAGCTTTAGACCTGTGCTGCATAACAACATTATAGATTAGGAGCATACGCATTTTAATGGCCTTACTGCGTTAGTTAAGAATGTTAAACCAATATCTGGATGATGTTAAAGACAACACAGATCTTGAATAAAGCCTTTGCATCATTTCTTTGTTTTCCGGCAAATAAATTACGTAAAAAACGAGATCAAAGAGCACAATGGACAATAAAATTCAGTTCATATGGTGCGTATTTATTGCACTGCAACATGAACAATGTGTATTAAGCTGTCAAATTTAGCTTCGAAAGAAGGGCAGAACTTTTAGGCGAATTAAGTGTATTGACCCTAGTGATGCAGTTTTCTTTATAATGATTTAATCGTTTATTATCATTGCCATCATCATTTTTTGCTTCTGGGTAGGAGATTCTATGAGGGATTTTAAGACATCAAAAGCACTTCCCAAGCATTTTGTAACAAATCGGGGCAATTTTATATTAACCATTACTGTGAACATAACATCAGTGCTAAGTGGGAGATGCAAACTCTCGTGGTTTCCACAAAAAGAGGAAAAAACACATACACATAATGACAATATATATGTTTGTCACTTTCAGGTCTTTTTGTCACCGATTTTAGTTCATCGATATTTACATCTTTGACAAAAATTAATCACCTATTTCGAGATGTCATGTATGCTGTAGTGGGAGCACATTTTGTCACCCTGTATGGATCCGCCCCTGGATGGTGAGATGAAGATAATTGTTGTACACATTCGATAAGTGAATGGCCTTCGTTTTAAAGAATGGTGTTCTCTATGGTGTTTATCATGAACCTATGATTTAGAGGCAAGTAAAACAAGAAGGCAAGGAGAGCGATATATTTGTTATGGATTACTTTTTATTCGATGCCTCCTCACCAGTAGGAATTCCAAGATTGAAAATTAAATTTGATTCTTTCCTGCCTTGCTGTCTCTCTTTTATTAATTTTCCCCAATCTTATTTTGCTTCTTACTTCTCCTGTGCCTTAAATATGTAATAAACGAGTTTACACGTTGTTGATGGACTGTGCTGACGACGATTATCATGTTTCCTTTACTTCGCCAGATAAATACAAAACTGAGCTGTGTTACCTGAAGATATTGCTTGAGGTAGAAAGATTGCACTACTGTGTTGCCTAGATCTGTCAAATTTAAAGCATTGTACAATTCTTTTTCTAAGTTAGGAGTGATGGAGTTGGGGTGGATGTAGCACTGATATAACTGCATTTCAGTTCGACTTTGTTAAATTGTAAATAAAAAGATAACAGGATTTTTCTTTATTTTTTCTCAATTTCTTGATTCGATTGTATTAAAACATCTATATAGTGCAATGCAATATAAATGTTTCCTTGCTTCTAGAAGAACGTATCAGATATCATGACTCAAAAATAAAGATGTTATCTTTTCATGGTGAAATTGAAATTATTTAATTTTTAAAATTTATCTACTGTGTCATAAGTGCTTACTTTATGTTTGTTATGGGTAAAGGTAAATAACACAGTTACCCTTTAAATGTACTATGAAAGAAAACTAGAATCTTTTTAGGGATAACTAAACAATTTAAATTCTTAACTTATTCTCAACAGGATATCATGGGTATCAACACTTGTAAAGGAATGGTATAAATAAAACTCAAGATTATACAGGAATTTTAATCTATTTTACAGTTTATGTCTGACGATGGTTGCATGTTGCATACATAGGCCTTCAGTGATGACAAATGAGATACGTAATGAATTTAAAGAATAGAGATATATGTGTCAATGCTTCCAAGTGAAACACGTGAATCTTGGATTTTATTTCATTTGGGACATTAAAACACACACCCTATTGTTGTACTTATACAAATCAATAATATATGTTTATGGAACCACTGACACGTACGGTACAACCTTATCTTGGATGTGAATGACGTTTTCGCATTCCTCGGCTTGAGGTTTCGACGCCATTCCACCCGTCACTCAAGGTAAAAGCATCTAACAGGTACAGCCCCACTTCCCGAGAAGATTTTAGGGTCTATTTTCCAATGTATTGCGGCATTTCAGTTGTATGGAGTCGGTTGATTCAGTCGTGGGAACTGTTATCGTATTCGATTTCATATATTTTTTTCCG